TGTGTGTACTTCTGGCGAATTGAGCATGCGCTTCTGTTCCTCACACTGATTGGCTCATGCATTGTAGCATCAAGTAGTGCAATATATATATATATATACATATATATATATATATATATACATATATATATACATATACAGACACATATATATATATATGTATGTATACATATATATATACTCAATGTTTTTATTCCAAAACGACTGTTCACAATCAGCTGCTAACATCCACTTATTATACTATATACTGCTGCTTCATTTTTTAACTTAAGGCAACTTGGGGGCTGATCTCATAGAAGTTCTTCAGTGGTTTGAGGCCACAGAAAATAAAGGCACTTAGAAAATAAATACTGTAATCACCTATTTTTGCAAATTCATGTGACTCATGTGAACAATCTGCTAACAAATGATCAGCAAATCAGCCATAGCACTAGTTCATTATTTATACCATCACCATGTGATGCATCGTTATCATGTGCATTGTGTAGTTAAGAGGCGTGTGAGACGATGCAGAGAGAATGCAACGGTATCTGTATCCTGCTGTGCTAATGAATTATCTTAGCCTTTTCACATAAAAAGGCTCAAATATATTATACAATTTACATTTATCTTTGTGAATTTAGCAGACGCTAGCAGCTTTTATCCAAGTAGGGGGAGGTGTCAGGTAGACGTGCTAAATGCTACGAAATGGAACCGCAATCGTCAGCATTCGTTTGGCAAAAGTGAAGCTAACCAACCAAGTATACTGTAACATATATAAAATATATGTTAAAAACACACAAACGAAAATGTGATCTCACAGCTGCTATTGCCTTCTCCCTGCAGATGTTGGAGATAACCACAACAGCAGCGGAGAGTCACAGGTTTGTATTCCTCTAATGACTGTAAACACAAACAGCTGCAGCGAGAACACCAGTGGCGTCGAACCATCACAATCAAGCAGCAGTCCTTGTATTAGTCATGCAAAACAGTTAACTACCATTTTATAGCAGATTTGGACACAGTAAAAAAAGATAAATATAGGAACCATACTTGTACTTGTAAAAACAAACAAACTACAAGTTTTTTTTTATTGACGAATATCTAGCCTGATTTTATGCTTTTTTTCCCTTAAATCTGATCAGGATTAGTGGTTACTGGATCTTGCATACTGTGAGCTCCACTAACTGCGTCTCACCTGAAATAACAACAAGTTATTCTCTTCATATATAGTGTCAGTGTTGTTTGACTGATTTTAGATCGGTCAAGGACAGAATGATGCATTATGCCTCCTCGAGGGCATTAATATTTAATTACGCACACAGAGAGTCCATTGTGCATTATGTCTATGAGTACAGCTGTTTTCTCTGAAAGATTCTTGCTTATAGCTAGCATATTTCCTACTATTACATATATTAATATATATATATATATTGTCTGTGTATATATATGTTTGATATATTTGTTCTACAGGGCACAGATATATATATATAAATATGTATGTACGAATATATGTATATGTATTTATATATTTATATATGTATATATTATATATATGTTTGATATATTTGTTTTACAGGACACAGATTCTTCTCAGAGAAAGCACAGCACCTATGTCCCGCCCACAGCGAAAGGTAAACATAAGACATGTCTCCTTCCTACATACATAATTAAACAAATGCGCAAAATAGAAGAGGACAATGTGTTTACAGCTTTAGAGACTAAATTGACGACTAAGTTTCGTTTGGTGAATCTCAGGTTTTTACTACGTTTTTGAGTTTCACCGTCAGCATAGCAACTCTCATAGAAATTCAAATTAACTTTATCAGAAAACCTTCCCTTCAGAGAAAATTGAAGGAAAATGTTCGTCTTGTGTTTGTATAGAAAATATAGGACACACGTTAGGGGTAGACTTTGGCATGTGTTTTGTTTACTGTCTGTTGCAGCTGTATACACACTGTCTGCACCCTCATGTCATCTACATGTTTGCTCTCAGTATGTTCGCTCTTCTGCTTTTACAACACAGCTCTGATCTTCCTCTGTGTCTGCTGCAAAGTCTCAAACCACACAGACTTTAAAACTACTGGATTAAATAAAAATAAAATTATGACCTGAATTCCTTTTAAGGAATTGAATGCAGACAACTGCCCGACCCCCCACAAAACGAACACAAGTTACAGAGGGTCACTGTTTTGTGGTTATGTCGCCATCTCCCATAGACTTATTAAGAACGTTTTGTTCAATCATTCTGATGTACGGTGTTAAATCTCGCCAACTACTGTAGTTTGCATTGAAATACATCATAAAAAAGCGGCACTTTATGCGAAAGGCGACTTTGTTTACATTCGCCAGTTGTACTCCATAGATTGTGCTACATTCACTTTCTTTCGTTTCTCTTAGTGAGAACAGAACTCTAGACTTTTCTCACCACTGGGGTAACTGGAGTCTACTTTGTTGTCTACTTTGCACGTATCCCTTGTAGGATACGTGCAATTCACGTGTTAAGTTGCTGTTGCTTGGAAGTTGCCTCTTGTAATGATACGATCTCGGCTCCGAACTGTGTATCAAACTACATAAGTTAATGCCCTGACTGTGACTTTGGTTCATATTGGATTTGATAACATTAATGTTTAAGTTGTTGTTTTTAAGATATATCTAACTGACATACAGTATGACAACACATTTGTTAATAGAGCAGTGCTATTAAATTATATATATATATATATATATATATATATTGTGTGTATATATATCATGTTATTTAATAGTTCCAATCATGTGACATTCAATGGTGACCAATTTCAGATATGTCAAATGTATAGACAGAAAAATAAACTAAAAGACATATACATATAAAATAATTATATATATGAAAGCTTTGGCTTTAAAAATATGGATTCTCATTTGAAATTGAGAAAAATTTGCAAACAATCGCTGGTAGCTTTTTTTACCTAGACAAGATCGTACATAGCATACTATTGGCTGACACAGATCAAGTCTGACCACCGTATACAACAGTATAACAACAGTATAAGGATCACTGACTTATTTTTCAATATATTTATCATAAATATTTCTAAAAAGGCGCCATATCTGTTGGCGGTTTTGTACATTTGAGGTTAGATTTTAAAAGAACTAAAACCTGACAAAGACCATATTTTTATTCTTCAAAAAAAAACAAAAAACTGACAAGTCTGACAGCTTTTCTTTTTCAAAGACTTGTTGTTGTTATTGTTTTGATCATAGCGTGTGCTGAATAATTTATTTTAAATGTCAAGGAGCTTTTCCTCGGAAAGCAAGATCTGTCTGCAGTATTGCTGATTATTAGGAACCTTGACTGCACTGGCTACAATTTGCTTCAGTTTCTCTAACAGTTTCAAACCCATTATGCTGATTGCCCCTGTGAGCAACACAACAAACACACTTCACGTAATTAACCACCGGTGTGTTACTGTCGACACTAACATTCTGCTGTCGGAGCAATCATAATCTGTTAGTGGAAGAGTAATCGGTCAAGTATTTAGGTAGTTTTCTATATATACTGTCATGCCCCCCCCTTGGGGACAGAAATGTTTTAACGCCCCCACACCTCCCGCTCCCACAAATTGAAATACTATTGAGAACCTAATAACGTATATTTTTTTTATCTGTAAAACCATTGTAAGAGTTGCTGCCACCTAGTGACTGGAGGTTTCTTATCATTCAAGCATTACAGCAGTGGTACACTTATGTCCAGCGTGCCATATTCCATTGGAAGCCCCTCACACCTCCCCGGCACCTCACTGCACCCCCCAGGGGGGGCCCACCCCACTATTTGAGAAGTACTGGAGTATACTCTGTATTCAAAGTGTCAAAACAGTCCCATAGGCTCTTTAACAAAAAAGGTAACGAAAAAAAGGGTGCATGTCTTTGAGTGCAAACTTGGATCCGGGAAGTGAAGACGGTGAAAGCTTTTCCTTTATTGATTTTGTGTGTGTATGTGCGTCGACCATAAATTAGGAATATAAAAGGTTCCACTTGGTCAGCACTTGTTTTAATTATAATTATTATCAAGATTCACAATAATCCAGGGTTGGCATTGTGTGATACAATTTAGATATTTGCTTAATCTAAATTAAGCAAATATCTAAATTGTAGGATAAATTGAAGGATCTTTAGGTTTTTATGATTTAAGAAGACGGTGATAAATCAAACACTAAAGAAGAGTAAATTAAATGAGGATGTACTACGTATTGTAACTGAAATCGTCAAACGTTGTAAATGTAGGGTTCTCAGTATTTCAAACCTATATTTATATGTATAAAATATATACACACACACACATATATATACACACAGACAGATATATATAAATATATATATATATACACATATATATAAATAAATATATGTATATACACACACACACACATATATATAAATTTTTTTTTTTTCTTTTTCTTCCTTTCAGACCACGTCAGTTTTATCCATTTTGTCCATCTTACAGCGCTGTATGGTTGCCCTATGGTTGCTCTATGGTCCTACTGCAGCTGATAATCACTGACTTTGTTGTTTCATGTTCGATATAACACTCCCAAAAAGCTCACAGTGCTCTACACTTCAGAAACATATCATTTACCTGCATTTCTTTGTGCGTGATGTCCGTTTCCTGTACACAGTCCACGGTGTCTCCACTAGAGGTCCTCTTCTCTCCTCAGAGCTACAGCTGGAGGGGGAGCAGCATCTTTTGGGGGCAGCGCTGTGTGATGCAGACGGTCAGTTGAGTCCAATCACAGCGCAGCTCTATGCTTCTGCGTCTCTTTGGGGAAATCACAATGGGCCAGAGGAAGCCAACGGAAATGAGGCCGGTCTGCCATTAGCCGTAGCCAATCAGGAGAGAAGAGTTGCAGAGAGCAACAGTTTCGGGGGTAAAGGCTTTCTTGATAAAAGACAAAAAAACAAAACAAAAACAAACGTTTTCAGTTCAGTTTCAGTTCCATTTTTAGTATATCTAAAGCATGACTTTGTGTTTGTCTTTAAGTATTTAGTATAGTATAACTTGGTGTGGATATCGGACTGATTCTCATCCACAACCTAATAACTAGTCATCGGTGTGAGGCTACAGTGCAAAAAAGAAAAATAAACAAAACAAAAAAAATACAATTAAAAAATAGAATACAATAGAATAGAACAGAAAAGTGGCTTTTTTGGAATTTTAAATTATTTAGCCATTAGCCTTCAAACAACCACAAATCATGTGTTCAACAGAATAACCATAATAGTAATTAGGGGGGGCCAATACTGTCCAAACACTTGAATCCGATATCAACTGTTAGCTATGTATGCAGCCATTTGGGTTAAAGGCAGAGGACACATTTCATTGTGTGCAGTTGTGTGCTGTGTCACAATGACAATAATTCACTTTCACTTCAAAACTATGGTTAGGTCATACAATCTGGGCGAAACCCAGACATTCCGTTATCAGGTTTTCATTATCGGAGCAAAAACCGATAACAGTTATACGATTGATATTTCTTCGATATTACATAATTATGCTAATATCAGTTGGCCCATATTATTGGACATCCATAATGGTAATTATAACCATTCATAAATGGTTTTAAGTATAGATGTCTGATATTAACCTGGCAGATTTTGTTCAAACACTGAATTTCCATTTCAGATATCAACTGATATAGTGGGGTAGTGGTAACCTAGTGGTTAAGGAAGTTAAGTGCCCTATGATTACTAAGGTGATTGGTTGGCAGTGTTTCTCAATTGTTTTACTGCCATACCCCCCTAGGGCACAGAAGTTTTTTCACCCTCCCTCAATATCGGTCGGCCGATATTATCGGACATCGTTTATTTTAATAAAATCATTTAAATTAATGAATCTAAAAGAGGAAAATGTGAAAATGAAATCTTACTCGTAAGATCACCGGTGTATCACCATTGTGCCAGATGATTATCCCACGCCAATAGAGGACTGCACACGTTCCACAACCACTGTAAAAACAAAACAAAAAAAAGAACACAGATTAGGTAAATCATCATAGAATGTAAACTTCAAACCTCTGTGTCACTTTTCATCCCAGACCACCCTGCAGGTTAGTGTCAAAGGCAACAGATTTACTCCTAGTCTACGGACAGTTTCAATACCAGGCTTCATTTAGAACATGCACAGATGACAGTTTTACTACAGTTACAGCCAAGGCACTGTTGAATACTTCACCTAATATGGAAATAAAGTGTCAAAACAGTCCCAGACATGAATGGACTCTGAGGACGCAGACTAAAGCTAGGCAACTGTAAGTGAAGACAGTTGGAGGACAAGATAAAATGTACAGTAAATAATTTTCAGTAACATCAGGACAGAACTGACAGCTACAACAGGGACAGGATTATTTCTCAACTACTGTCTGTTCAACAATGAAACTATTCTCTTAGAACAGTGTTAACAAACTCCAGGCCTGGGGACCACTTCTGGCCTGTAAGTAGATGTCAATTATTATTTAGCCCTTTTTTAAATTCACATTTCAATTATAAAAAGCATTACAATGCTTCAGTTAGTCAGTTAAAAATAAGAACAATATTCGTGCTAACTGTTTG